TGCAGGTCAGAATGAGCTTAGGGGACTGTCGTAGCCAAAGGCAAAGATTCCACTTCAGTTACATCAAAAAGTGATGATATTGCATATACAGTTAAATATTTGCCATTTAAATAAGAATTATTACTGAGACATGAGAAGTCAGCCTTACCGGAAGGACTGTCCTCCAGATCTAATTTAAGGTTTCATCCTTTTCTGGTCAAGGCCTTGTTTTCGCTGAGTGGCTTCAGTTGGCACTTGCCTGACTTTTAAAATCAGGCTGTTTCACTGCGACTGTGATGATGTTCTTCCTTTTGGAGCCAGGCTGCTGCTGCTGCTGAAACTTGCTGGCCTACAATCCATCTTTGATAATGTTAAAATGCTATTGCTGATAATAGCAGTAATGGGAAATGGGTTCATCTAAGCATAAGTATTTTGACATGATAGAAATTTAAAACTCTAGTAAAGGGAACTAAATATCTATAACTAAACCAATGAAAAAAAAACACTTTGAATACAGGCAAAACCTGAAGAAAAAATTATGCTTTGCAGATATCTCTGGAACAAGCTGGCTGAACCATAAAGAATTTAAATTTGGTCTAAGAGTGTATAGAACTGACAACTGTGCTCATTCAGCTCTGGTTCTAGGTACCAGAAATGCAGTGATGAATGAGACAGTCTTGAGGGGAATGAGAATAATAAAGAATTACAATATGAAAAGTATATTGGGGTATCATGATGACATCCCAGTATTTTGAGTGACAGATGTCGAGCCTCAAGGAAGAACTGGCATCTAAGATGTAACTGAAAGATGAGTGGGTGGGAAGGATGGCAGGGTTTCTGGTCAAAACTGAAGTAAAATAATGCATGGAGGCCTGCAATGCTAAAGTAATTTAATGGGCCCCAAGGGATTGAATATAGCTTGACAGCAGTGTGCAAGAGATTGAGATAGTGGCAGATTGTAAGTCTGTTAGCCATGCCAAGGAGCCTTAGACATGATACTGAGGGCACTGGGGATCCATTGCAAAGTACCTGACTTGGAAAGTCCTTGGTCACTGTGTCATATCAATATTATTCAGGTAACAATATGAAACATGAATTGAGTGAATAGTGCCAAGGTGTGGGTAAGGAGACCTATCCAGAAACTCTGGTCACAATCCAGATAAATGATAGTGGCTGTAGAAGTAAGGATAGAACTAGAGCAGTGGTTCTCAACCTTCTGGCCCTTTAAATACAGTTCCTCATGTTGTGACCCAACCATAAAATTATTTTCGTTGCTACTTCATAACTGTAATGTTGCTACTGTTATGAATCGTCATGGAAATATCTGATATGCAGGATGGTCTTAGGCGACCCCTGTGAAAGGCTTGTTCGACCGCCAAAGGGGTCGCGACCCACAGGTTGAGAACCGCTGAACTAGAGGCTGAGCAGACATTCAGTTCTGGAAACCATTTGAACTAGTTTGCTTGGTATGCCTGTGAAGAATCAATAGAGCACATTCGTTATGTTATTTGAGACAGCATAACACTTTCCAAGTGGACCTGTGTGGGGTGTCAATTTAATACATAGGTTTGGCACCCCAGCCGGAGATCTAGGATGGAAAGGTATTTGAGAGGTAGCTCTTTTTAGGGGTAATGAAGTCATGGGAGTATATCTACCTGCCCAGGGGAGTCTGCAGAGTGAAATATCAAGAGAACTGCCTATTAGAAACATCACATTATCCAATCAGGCAGAGAAGGGAGAGCAGTCAGGACAAGCTGAAAACCAGGTGGTCATGCTGTCCTGGGAACCAAAGAGAGCTTTTCAGGCAGAAAGGAGCCAAGACAGAGTGACCGATAGCTCCAGGTGTTCTGGACAGCAGCTAAAACTACCAAGGAAGAAAGGGTTAGGAGTCATTGAAGAACAAGGAGGCCACTTAATGACTTTGAAAGTAATTTAGTGATTTTTTGTAGGCCTACAAATGAGGCAGTGAGAAATAATTGGCAGGTGTAGATGCCAGTGTCTGCATTTTGGGAAGCAAAGAAAGTTTAAAGAGAGGGTGTTGTGTAGACAGTGAGAGGAGGAGCACGATTGTCAGGTTTCACTGGGGTTCCGGTTTGGTGAGGCACCATGATTTGCTAAAGGTGTCTACTTAAGCAGTTTGAATAAGAGGAACAATAAGAGGAACAAAAAGTGATTTTAATTTTTGCAAGCAGGGAGAGAGTGCTTACTCAGTTTTGGCAAGTGTAGACAAGGTGAGCAGTTCTCTTGATCCATAGCAGAAAATGATTTCATTTTCCCGAAACCCATCTAGAACATTGGCGAGTTTTCTGAATGCAGCCCATCGTCTTACTTAATGTCATCTATGTTAAAGTGTAGCATTGCAGCCAAATAATAATTATATTTAAACTACCTAGAAAAAACTAAGTTAAGGTGCTATTTTTCTGGGTCCTGGAATATTTAGTTTATAAACATTCACATAGGAAAAAAATTCAGTGTTCTGAGCAAGGGAAGAAATTTGCTTATTAAAAGATGTGGTATTGCATTCAATTATTACATTGTATATAGCTTGTGATCAGCTGGTTGCCGAACACTGACATGCACATTGGTGGAAGCATGTCTTTCATGGTGTATGTTAGTGGGAAGAAATACTTCGAATTAGTTGAATGGATTAAACAATCTTACTGACTTTTCCTTTTCCATATAGACACTACATGTGAAAGTCATATTAGGAATCCTCTCTCCTTTATCTGCTTTCAAGATAGTTACTGAGATTGAATGCATAAAACAAAGGATACTTGTATAATTTAATTGTGGGCATGCTGTTACATGATTTCTTCGTGGCGGTTCCAGGAAATTCTAGAATGTTGTTGTGCATTTGTATCTGAACACAATTGTATAGAATTTCTAGCCCATGTTTGTTTTCCTATTGAAAATGACAATATCTAGCTCACGGTATTCAAGTAAATGTAATGTTATTCATCAATAAAATAACATTCATCAATGTTATTTCAAACAATGCTTTTAATTACTAGGGGCTTTGGTTTGCTTTTTGCATTTGTTTTGTTTTGAGCAGTTGATTGAGGAACATTCGGATATCAAGGGCAGCATAGTGGAAATATTGAAAACATTTGCCAGTAGGTGGATGATGGAAATGAAATGTTGGACTGGGTATAGAGTTTTAGAATTTAGAACATGATAAGACAAAAGAGTAAAATTTCACGTGTTTAGAATTCTCTTTACTGGTCTCTCAATCTGAAATAAGACCAAGATTAAGGAAGTAAAAGAGGAAAGATTCCTTAGGGAGCAAAATAGATCTACCTTAGGCCTTAAACTTTATAGGCGAGGCCTCTGCATTCTTTTAGTCTTCTAGGGCTTTACTTGATGTGTCTCCATCACATTATTGTATGTAATTGTTCTAAGAGATTGGTTAGGTTTTCAAGCCCACAGATAATTTTAAGCAGCGGTTCTCAACCTGTGGGTCGCGACCCCTTTGGCGGTCGAACGACCCTTTCACAGGGATCGCCTAAGACCATCCTGCACATCAGATATTTACATTACGATTCATAACAGTAGCAACATTACAGTTATGAAGTAGCAACGAAAATAATTTTATGGTTGGGTCACAAAATGAGGAACTGTATTTAAAGGGCCAGAAGGTTAAGAACCGCTGAAAAGGAAGGCAAATTGCTTAAGTAGAAATGTCAAGGGAGTGAAAACTACCCCCCTCTAAAAATAACAGGGGTAAAAAGTTCTAAAAGCGTAGCAGTGAAGTAGCTTTACTGGAGGGATATATATCGGATACACAGCTACCTCAGGGAGCTTCTGAGGTCTTGTATGATCCATTGATCTGTGAAGGAAGATTACATTACTGTTGACCCTTGAACAACATTGGTTTGAACTACCCGAATTTCTTTATGCCTGCATTTGTTTCTATCTATAATAATAAAAGCATAGTACGTTAATTAGGCTGGATGTCCTCCCGGATGACCTTCTGGATGAAGCTGGGGCTGCCAGGGTGGGTCCCGGGTGCCTGCCAGCGGCTGGAGGGAAGCCCGGGTCCCCGGTGCTGGTGCAGGAGGGAAGCCTGTGCCGGCATCCAGGGGAAGGAAGCCTACTCTTGCACAAATTTCGTGCATCGGGCCTCTAGTAAATATATAGAAACTGCTGGTACCTAGGTTTCACGTCTGTGGAAACAACCAACAGTACTTTCCATCTGCAATTGGGAATCCGACAATGCAGAGGACACACTATAGGCATTGTTCACCACTTCATATAAGTGACCAGCATGCAGGGGTTTTTGTATTCATGGGGTGTCCTGGAACCCATCCCTCACTGATACGAAGGAAACACTCTAAGTTTTGGGGAATTCAAAAGTCATCTGTGGATTTTCAACTGTGTGGGGACCCCTGACTGAACTGCTGCATTGTTCAAGGGTCAATTGTGTAGTTAAAGTAATGTTAAGAAAGCAGAATTTTTTTTTCATGTGAGGCTATTCAAAATAATGCAATTTTATTTTAAATGGCGTTTACTCACTTGTAAAAATGCTTACTTCGCTAATATGAAGTCTTATATTTTGAAATAATTTAGTCCATATTATTTCTATCTACGAAATCCCAATACTTACATAATTACCTCTACACATAGCATTTCTTGAGTACCCACTGGGTGCAGAGTGTAGCAGGAAAAGAAGGCAGATGACTCTGACCTCTAGGAACTTGCCTCCTAAGAGGAGGCTGAGCCTGAGGTGACAAGTCACCATCAGTTTGCATTTCAAACTGTGGACGAGGACCCTGATCTAGGGCTGCATACTGTAGATGATGTCCTAGGGGACAGGTGAGTGTGAAATGAACTGAGAAAAACTGGGAAAGGACGCACACCAAACCTGTTGCTGCTGTCTCTTTAATTTACTGCTGAATGAATATTCGCCTTATTCCTTAAGAAACCATAAGCTCACCAAGGACCTGCCAGCTGCCAGGCCAGAATCCGTGGCTGATGGAAAAGAGAAAATACTTGACTTTCATGTCTTATTCTCTCATGCCCAGATGCCTGTGATGAGATACCAAGATATGACTCTATGAAAGGCAAGGGTAATCCTGTGCCCCCTGTAAGTGCTGGGTTTGCAGTAGAATATGAGTGTCGCCCAGGATACAGGCTTATTGTTCCTCTTGTTCGTCCCACCTCTGCTGTTTGTCAGTCTAATGGCACATGGGCACCTCCTCTCCAGGAGGCCTGTACAAGTAAGTACATAAAATTTTTATTTTTATTGCTCTAAAGATTTTCATACATTTTAGATGGCATATTCTGCTAGTACAATGATGGTTTTCTCACGTGGAGGTAAGTTTTAGACAGTCATGTATTTTTTCAAGCTTTGAAAAATTTCCAGGTAATCTTTTTCTTGTTAGTTGTCTGGGTAAATGTGAATCTTAAGTTTGGCCTTTTAATAGTTAAAGAAAGAAAAATAGTATTCCCACAGTAGAGCAACGTAGAATTTTGGTTTTGATTCAGATCTGTTTTGGAGTTTGTGTAAATCAACAAATTTAAAAAATTTCTTTCAGGAAAATCATGTCCACAGCTAGCAGAGCCCCTAAATGGCCGCGTAGAAGGAAATTTTCAGTTTGGTTCACAGGCTAGCTACTCTTGTAATGAGGGGTAAGTAGAGGAAATAGGTAAATGTTACTACTTCTATTTTTGTTTTGCTTATTTTCTAAATATTCCCATAATGTTGATTTAATTTTGCTTTGTGTGTAGAAGTTGTACTTATAGCCAATCAACTCTGGGCTTCTTATAGTGACCGAAAAGATGTGTAACGAGTAGAAGGAAATTTCCATTGAAGTAAAGCAGAACTGTATAATACTACCCTATCTAATAAAAGAAAAACATGCAAATTGACCATACCCCTGAACGCTTCCCATTGGCTAATCAGGACAATATGCAAATTAACTGCCAACCAAGATGGCGGCTGGCAGCCAGGCAGCTGAAGTGAACAGGAGGCTTGCTTGCTCCAGTGATGGAGGAAGCCAAGGTTCCCCGCCTGCTGCTGCCGGCCTCTGAGCTGCAGTCTAAGAAACAGTGTTGCAATTATAGAAGCTAAACCAGCTCCAGATAGCTGCTTTTAGCCAACTTCGGCCTCAGAGCTTAGAGTGGCAGTGATGGCAACAGTGTTTCAATTATAGAAGCTAAACAAAGCCCAGATCCCTGCTTTCAGCAGCCGAGGCCTCAAGCTGGAGCCGGCCTCAGAACTAAAGCTGGCTCTCAGTTCCAGTGACAGCCATAGAAAGTAAATAAATCCCAGAATAAAAAAAGAAAAGAAAAGAAAAAAAGGAGAGGCTGGGAGCTTCAGTCACCCGCCAGCCTGAAAATGGCCCTCAGCCCCTCATCCAGACTGGCCAGGCACCCCAGTGGGGACCGCCACCCTGAAGGGTATGTGACCAGCTGCAAACAGCCTTCAGCCTGTCATCCAGGCTGGCCAGGCACCCAAGCAGGACCCCCACCCTGATCTGGGACACTTTCAGGGCAAACCAGCCGGCCCCCACCCGTGCACCAGGCCTCTATCCTATACTACAGGCAGGGCGGGACAGCGCGAGCTGCCATCCGGGCCCCATGTGCAGCCTTGGGCAGCGGGGCATAAGCCCCGCCCCCAGCCGGGACCTCTGTGTGCCACCTGAGCCCCCAGCTGGGACTCTTGTGCCGCCTAAGCCCTGCACTGCTAAGCCCTGCCCCAGCCGGGACCCTATGACTATTGGAGAGCAGGAAAGTGCCACTGGGCCCTGGGTCACTGTGGTGATTCGGCCATCGGTAAGTAGAAAAGTGCGGCCTGTAGGCAGCCCCCAGCTGCGCCTGATCTGGGAGCAGGACAGCAAGCCCGGCCTGTGGGCAGCCCCCAGCTGGGCCTGCTCCCCGGTTGCCATGGCAATCCGGGAGCAGGAAAGCCTGGCTTGCAAGCAGCACACCCATCCTGGCCATAGCTCAAGGGAGAGTACAACATGCAGTGGAGGCCAGGAGCCTGAGAGATCAACACAGAGGGGCTCCTGCTCCAAGCCTCCATGGTGTGGCTGGGGGCAGGCCCCCAGCAGACACACACACACACACACACACACTCACAGTGCCTGCTCTGAGCCTCCAATGTGGCTTGGGGCAGACCACAAGTGGGGACTGCTTCGAGCATACGTGGCGCGGCTGGGGGCAGGCCCTAGCAGACAGACACACACACACACACACACACACACACACACACACACACGGGACGCCTGCTCCAAGCCTCTGCTGCCAGACTGTGGCCATCAGTAGAACATCCACTGAGGGCTCCCGGACTGTGAGAGGGGTAGGCTGGGCTGAGGGGGAAACCCCTCCCCCCCCCCCCAGTGCATGAATTTCGTGCACCGGGCCTCTAGTCCTATATAATAAAAGCCTAATATGCTAAGTGTCCGACCCTTCGTTTAACAAGTTGCTATGATGCCCACTGACCACTAGGGGTCAGGCGCTCTGACCGGCAGGTTAGCTTCCTGCTGGGGTCCGGCCAATTGGGACTGGGAGAGACAGGCCAGACACGCCCTGGAGCCCCCTCCCACAGTTTCTCCCTGGCCAGCCAGCCCTGATCGGCCCCTGCAGTCCAGGCTGAAGGACCCCACTGGTACACAAATGCATGCACCGGGCCTCTAGTTCTATATAATAAAATGGTAATATGCAAATTGACCAAACAGTGGAATGACTGATTGCTATGATGTGCACTGACCATCAGTGGACAGATTCTCAACACAGGAAGCCAGGGGAGCGCCGCTCAGCCAGAAACCGGGCTGATGGCTGGCGAGCACAGTGGCAGTGGCAGGAACCTCTCCCGCCTCCACGGCAGTGCCAAGGTTGTCCGACTGCCGGTCATCAGTGGGACATCCCTCAAGGGCTCCTGGACTGTGAAAGGGCGCAGGCCGAGCTGATGGACACGAATGTTATGCACTGGGCCTCTAGTATATAATAATAAGCCTACTATTAGCGTTAAAAATGTAGTAATCATGGTGACTTTATCCTTGACAAGTTGCACCCTACTTAAAATGGCCACCTTTCAGAGTTGATGAAGGGCTTATAGAAATGGGAGGTAGAATTGTCAGCCAAAAATAATCTTCTATTGAGTCTAGAGGTCCAGTGCACGAATTCATGCACCATTGGGCTTCCTCAGGCTGGCCTGTGTGATCGGGCCGAAACTGGCTGTCTGACATACCCCAAGGGGTACCAGATTGCGAGAGGGTGCAGGCCAGGCCGAGGGACCCCACCAGTGCACGATTAGGGCTGGGGAGGGAGGCAGGATGTTGGCCAGTGGGGAGGTACTGTGGGATGCTCTAGGATGTGTCCGGCCCATCTTGCTCAGTCCCAATCAGCTGGAACCCAGTAGCAAGCTAACCTGTGGTTGGAGTGTCTGCCCCCTAGTGGTCGGTGCACATCATAGAGACTGGTCGACCAGTTGACTGTATGCCCCTTGGTGATCAGTTTATGTCATAGAGAGTGGTTGAGCAGCCTTAGCATATCATTAGCATATTACACTTTGGTTGAACAGCTGACAGGTCTACTGGACACTTAGCATATTAGACTTTTATCATATAGGCTGTCAGGTGTTAACCAGACAAAAGTTGACCTGGTTAGCCTGGACCATAATGTTGCTCAAGATCTCTTAGGGGAGCCCAGCCAGCGTGGCTCAGTGGTTGAGCATCAACCTATGGACCAGGAAGTCACTGTTTGATTCCCGGTCAAGGCACATGCCCAGGTTGCAGGCTCAATCCCCAGTGTGGGATGTGCAGGAGGCAGTAGATCAGTGATTGTCTCTCAACATTGACGTTTCTATCTCTCCCTCTCCCTTCCTCTCTGAAATCAATAAAAATATTTTTTAAAAAAATAAGAGATCTTAGGGGAAAGCCTTATTTTTGAGACTGCTTCAAAGGAGTGAAGATGTCAAAAAGAGGTAGTGAGCATTTAATAGTAGCCTTTGTTCCATGGGGCTCATATAATAGTATATATTTGGGATATTGGAAATTTATGAAAAATGTGCATTATACAGTAAGTGGAATCTAATCCAATAAAAGAGAAACATGCAAATTGACCATAACTTCACTACACCCCTAGCCACACCCACCAGCCAATCAGAGTGACTATATGCAAATTAACCCAACCAAGATGGCGGTTGGCAGCCACGCAGCTGGAGTGAGCAGAAGGCTTGGTTGCCCGAGCGATGGAGGAAGCCAAGCTTCCTGCCTGCCCTGGCTGGCTGTGGCTTCCGCTAAAGGCAACAAAATTTCAATTATAGAAGATAAATAAATCCCAGATACCTGCTTCCAGCCAGCCTCCACTGGGAGCTTGGGTGGCTGGGGGCCGTGGCCAGCCTGCAAACAGCCATCAGCCCCTCACCCAGGCTGGCCACACCTTCATGGGGTGAGGGTCCCTGCTGGGGGGCTTGTCCAGCCTGCAAACAGTCCTCAGCCCGTCACCCAGGCTGGCCAAGCACCCCAGCGGGACCCCCACCCTGATCTGGGACACCCTTCAGGGCAAACCAGCCGGCTCCCACCCATGCATGAGGCCTCTCTCATCCTATGTAATAAAAGACAAATAGGGTAATTAACCATACCTCTGATACGCTTCCCATTGGCTAATCAGGGCGATATGCAAATTAACTGCCAACCAAGATGGCGGCCGGCAGCCACGCAGCTGAAGCAAACATGAGGCTTGGTTGACCCGATCACTGGCTCTGACCCCCACCCAGGCCTGAGGCCTCTGGCCCAGGAATCATGCCTGGGCAGGGGACTCCCATTTCCCTCTGATCGCTTGCTCCACCCCCCGCCCAAGCCTGACGCCTCTGACCCAGGCTTCAGGCCTGGACAAGGGGACCATCATATTCCCCCAATCCCCGGCTCCGCCCCCCACCCAGGCCTGATGCCTCAGCCAGAGGAGTTGACCCTCATCACCCTCCGATCACCAATCACCGGATCGGCCCCTTGACCAGGCCTGAGGCCTCCGGCAGAGGTGTCAGGCCTGGGCAGGGGACCCCCAGCTCCCCGCAGTTGCAGGCTCCGCCCCTGCCCAGGCCTAAGGCCTCTGGCCTAGGCGTCCGGCCCGGGCAGCGGGGACCCGCAGCTGCAGGGGACCCGCAGCTGCAGCGGCCCCTCGATCGTGGGCTTTGCTTTAGGCCCAGGCAAGGGACCCCTAGCTCCTGGGACTGCCAGCTTTGACCGTGCCCAGCTCCCATTGCTGGCTCCACCCCTACTTCCTGCTATCACTGGCCAGGGTGGAAAAGGCGCCTGATTCTCCGATCATGGCTGGGGGGCAGGGCAAAGGCGGCCCTGCCGCCGTTGCCCTGCCCCCCGGCTCTTAGCTCCCCCCTGGGTTTCCGATCACTGTCAGTGGCAGGGGGCTTCTTCCTGCTTTCCCTTTCGCCTCCCTGCATTGTGCCTACATATGCAAATTAACTGCCATCTTGTTGGCAGTTAACTGTCAATCTTAGTTGGCAGTTAATTTGCATATAGCCCTGATTAGCCAATGAAAAGGGTAGCGTCGTACGCCAATTACCATTTTTCTCTTTTATTAGTGTAGATGTATATTTCACCCTTCAGTTCTGTTAGTTTTCAATTCATATATTTTGAAGGCCTGTCATTAGGTGCAAAATAAAAAGTATTTTGTTTGAATTAGTGTAGCACCTCTGCTCTCAGGATCACTATGTGCGTGGAATATATTTCTCCATTCTTTTACTTTCAACTTGTTTGTGTTTTTGTATCTCAAGTGAGTCTTGTAGACAGCATACAGCTGGATCCTTTGTGTTTACCTGTCCGTCCAATGTCTGTCTTCAGATTGGAGAATATAATCATTTTAAATATAAAAGGATTATTGACAAGAAGGATGGTTTTCTATGATTATGCTACTGGTTTTCTACATGCCTCAGAGCTTTTTGACCCCCCTTTCCTGTTTAGTTGATTTTTATAGTGAAATGCCAACATTTCTTTACTATTACATATTGTCCATTTTATAGGGTTTTTGTTTGTGGTTATGATGCAGATTTTATATTTAAAATCCTACAGTTAGAGTATTCTAATTTGAATTTATACCAACTTAATTTCAATAAATTGTAAAAACTGCACCTTTACAACTCTATCCCCACCACCTTTGGTTGTTAATGTGATACTAATCTCTACACTAATAATTGTAATACTAGCCTCCACAGTAATGTATTTATCTTCCTTTGAAGGATTATTCTCTTAGACCGCACAGAAAACAAAAATTATAGGCACAAAGCATTGTTACAATAATACTGGCTTTAATAATTGCCTGTGTATGTGCCGGCAGTGAAATGCTTATTTATTCATATGCCTTTGGGTTACTTTTTTTAATTTCACCTTTCAGGACTCCCTTTAGTATTTTTTGAAGGCAAGGTCTAGTGGTAACAACTCCCTCAGCTTTTATTTGTGAATAAACCTTAATATCTCCCTCATGTTTCAGCACAGTTTTGCTGGATTGAGGATTTTGGGTTGGCTTTTTTCTGTTTTTTAAATCACTTTGAGTCTATCAGGTCACTGTCCTCTGGCCTCCAAGACTCTGATGAGAAATCTGCTGATATTCTTATTTAGAATCCCTTATACCTGATGATTCACTTCTCACAGCTTTTCAAATTCTGTCACTGGCTTTTGAAAGGTCAGTCTTTATGTTTCTCAGTGTGGATCTCTTGAGTTCATTTTACTTAGAGAATGTTGAGATTTTTGAATATTTTTATCTGTCTTCCATCAAATTTGGGAAACTTTCAGCCATTGTTTCTTCAAATATTTTCTTTGCCCCCTCCTCTCTGTCTTCTCTTTGTGAGAGTCCCACAATGCGTATGTGATCTGCTTATCGATTTTCCACAGGTCCCATAGGCTCTCTTCACTTGTCTTCATTCCTTTTTCTTTCTGTTCTTCAGACTCAATACTTTCCATTGGCCTTTCTTCAGGTTCACTGAATCATTTTTCTGTCTGCTAAAAACTACCTTTAATTCCTGTAGTGAATCTTTCATTTTTTTTTTTCCTTTATTGATTAAGGTACTACATATGTGTCCTTATCCCCCCATTGCCCCCCCCCCAACCCCCCCACTCATGCCCTCACCCCCTGGTGCCTGTGTCCATTAGTTAGGCTTATATGCATGAATAGATAACCTTTGGTTGATCTCTTCGCCTTTTTCATTTAAGTTAGTGTACTTTTCAATTCCAAAATTGCCTTTTGGTTTCTTTTCAGGTTTTCCATCTCTGAATTGATATTCACATTGTATTCATTCTGTTAGGGTTTGGCCAGGGACATGGGCTGTGAAAGAATTCACAACTGAGAAGGAATAGATGCAGAGAGAGGCAGTTTATTTTATTTTCCAAGGGAGGAAAGGGCCAGGTGCCTTTTGGCAGCACAAGGGGCCCAAGGTGGGGGGTTGTTCTTCTATAAGTGTATTAGGGAGTAAATGGCAGCTGTGGCAAATGGATGAAGAAGGGAGGGGGATTGGGGACTTCACCTTGACGTTTTCCAGATCCTGGAGGCTGTCCTGGGAGCTATGGCTTGTTTGTCCTTTAGCCACAGATGTCCTACAGAGGTGTCTATTAGCATCTTCACAAGCCTGTAAAACCTTCTTACAGGGAAAGTTACAAAGGGTAGGAGGGAGTAGAGTTCTTCTACTAACTAGAAACTCTGTTGTAATTTCGCTGGAATCATTAAAACGGCAGTGAAGGTGGTAATGGGGGAAGTACAGCCTGCTTTTCAAGCCTGCTTGAATAGAGAGGCACTTTGAATAGGGAAGTCTGCAATCTCCACATGCTTCTCATAGCTTATGCAAGGTTACTGTGAGGGAAAAGAGGCCTTTTTCTTGTCCTAATACATTCATTTTTTTTTCTTGATTTTCAACATTTCTTCCATTAGTTCTTTGAGCATCCAGGTAACAGTTATTTTACAGTCTTTGTGTATTTGCTCTGGAATGAGGTCTTTTTTTCAGCGATAATTTCTATTAATCTTTTTTTTTTCTTTGAAGGCACCATACTTTCCTATTTCTTTGTATGCCTTGTGATTCTTTTCTTGAACTGGACACTTGAATTCTAATAATGAGGTCACTCTGGAAATCAAATTCTCCTTCCCAGGGCTTGTTATTTTCTTAGCTCGTTTTAGTGTTTTGATTGTTGTAGGGTATGAGGATCAGCCAGATACGTAAACTGAAGGTCTTCTCAGGTCTTCCTGAGCCTTTCCCTGGGCAGGCACAGTCACCTAATTTCCCCCACCTGTGTATGTCCTAGATTTGATGTCTGTCTCCCGAAAGGGGAAAAAGCAAAAATTGAAAGGGGAGCAAAGGACACTGGATCCTTAAATATCTGGAAGTCACTTCAGTAGGCAATAAATGGGCTTGCAAGAGTGGGGGACATGTGACAATAACGACTGCCCACTTGCTGTCTTTGAGTTAGTGTTTTTTTGTGATCAGAAGTAGCAGTCAGTAATAAGTGCATAAATCCCTGGTATCTGTGAGGACAGGGTTCTTTTTTCACTCCCTGGTTCCTACAGGCTGTTTATAAGCTGCCGCAGGAGCACATGCATAGCTGCCTGCTGTGGGAGTGGGATGGGTAGCTGCCATTGTGCTCAGAGCTGAAAGTGACTGATATTAAATCAATTTCCATGTCCAAGTCCTGCCTTAGAAACTACAAACCTTTCAGGGACACCAGAGTTGGAAAATAGTTACATCATGCACATTCTAGCATTGTAATTGTTGTTTGGGTGGGAAGAGAGATTCTTGGTGCTTCCACCTTACCATCATCCCCGACTCCTCTCCTAATCTGTAATAATAAAAGGGTAATATTCTAATTGGACCAGACGTTCTTCCTGATGACCTTCTGGATGAAGCCAGGGCTGCAAGAGAAGCCCTGGTCCCGGGTGCCAGAGGGAAAGAGAGATCAATTGTGAGAGAAGCCTTAATTCGTTGCCTCCTCTACACATCCAGACTGGATTGGGCCCGAAACCTGGGTGTGTGCTGACCAGGAATCAAACCACACCTTTTGGTGTACAGGAGGACACTCCAACCAACGGAGCCACTCTAACCAGGACCTGAGGAGTATTCATAAGACTTGAAACTTAGGGAGCACGTTCCACATGCTAATTCATCTACTCACAGCAATCCCACGAGGTATATACTATTATCCTCTTCTCATAGATGAGGAACCTGAGAAAGAGAAAGGGACTTGCCCAGCTCCAAGAGCAAGTCAGTTGTGGGCTGGACTCCAATGCAGGCAGGGAAGCTCTCGGTCCTGACCTCTCTCCGCAGTCATTGTCCTGCCTGGGCAGAATGGCATGAACTCGGGCACATGGGAATGTTGATGTGCCTGCTGCAGATAGCAGAGAGGCCAGACCGACAAGCACATGTGTAGATAGTTTGCTCTAGGTCAGTGTGTGCTCAAATGCAGCAACTCTCTCTTCCATTAAGTTATCGATTTAGTTAGTACTTTCATGATAGGCTATTTAAGAAACTTTTCCCTCAAACTACTTTAGTGCAGAAAAACAACCATATAAAATTTTTCTTCGATATTATATGCATCGTGTTAACTGGTTACAAAAACAGCACAACAGTAATCTGTTTTTCTTCTTATTTAGATATAACTTAGTTGGAACACCAGTTCTACATTGTGAACTTGCTGGAGATGGGAATAATGTGGCTTGGAGTGGTGACCCCCCACAGTGTGAAAGTAAGTATATTCTGTCTTTAGAATTTCAAGCAGTTCTCAAACTTTTGGCCTTAATTTGACTTTATCCTTTTAAATTTAAAAAGACTCCCACATAGCTTTTCTTCAGGTGGGCTATGGCTATTGCTATTCCATTATATTGGAATTAACCTTGAAAAGTTTTTTTTTTAATATATATATATTGTATTGATTTTTCATAGAGAGGAAGGGAGAGAGACAGAGAGTTAGAAACATCGATGAGAGAGAAACATCGATCAGCTGCCTCCTGCACATCTCCTACTGGGGATGTGCCCACAACCGAGGTACATGCCCTTGACCGGAATCGAACCTGGGATCCTCCAGTCTGCAGGCCGACGCTCTATCCAGTGAGCCAAACCGGTTTCGGCACCTTGAAAAGTTTTTAAAATAATTATTAAGAACAGTAAGCACAATACCTATCAATGTATATAACATATTTTTAAAGGAAAACCAAAATTTTCAAAAAAGTGAGAATATTGACATTGTTTTACATGTTTGCAAACTCATCAATATGTGGCTTCAATATAGACCTCAATTTGGGCTGTTGCATTAACACACCATTTGCACATTTGGGAAACTGCACTACATACTGTATGGATGAAAAAGATCATACTTTTTTTTCATAGAAACTTTGTTTCAAATAGATATTGGATATTCAAATAGATTGTAGAAATCATATGTTAATGAATTTATTGAAGCAGTTCATAAGGCATTACTAATGCTCTCTTAATTTTTATCTTTTCTTTTGCGTTTCCTGTCCTCTTTTTTTATCTTTTTAAGAGATTTTGTGTCAACCACCTCCACAAATAGGCAATGGAACATTCAGCAATAGCCACAAGGATACATTTGAATATGGTGAAGTAGTCACTTACCGTTGTAATCCTTCGAATGGGCCAGATGAATATTCCCTTGTTGGAAAGAGCACACTGAGTTGTTCTGGGCCAAACAAATGGAGTAGTGACCCTCCTGAGTGTAAAGGTAATGACTTTTTTTTATTATTCTTTATTTGTAAATAGTATGGAAATACTTTGTAAATACTTGACTAACAAATAAACAGAATAACTATATATGCTCCCTCACCCTGTTAAATTGTTTTCTAATTTAATTTTAGAAAGGTAAAATTGAATGAAAACTAAATTTACTTGTATTGTTCCCCACTCTTCACCATATATATTCTTGGCATTCCAACTTATACATTGTGAATTACTCTTGTAGATGCATGAGTTGGGATTTTTTTTCTTCCAAACATTAAAAAACTCAACACACATTGGTGTAAGAATAACAGATTTTTTTTGCATTGCAAGAAGTCTAAGAGTACTGACTAGGAAAAAATGGTAAATTATAAAAGACTAACCTTTTCACTAGTACAATTGATAAACTCTGGACAAAACATCAAGCATACCTTGTTTAATAGCAATTTGCTTTATTGCATTTCACAGATATTTTGTTTTTAAAAATTGAATGCAAGACCCTCAACAGCAAATAGATTATACCTTGCTTTATTATTATGATACTCATTTTATTGCTGTGGTTTGATACCAAACCTGGTATATCTTTGACATATGCCTGTACTTTAAAAACAATGTTGAAGGCCGTAGAGCATGACTTGAAACAGGGAGGCAATGGATGGTATTTGACTCTTGAAAGAATGGAACCGCTGAGTAATACCAAAATAATTACTCTTGTCAAGGGCAAATGGAACATCCCATTCTCTAATTACATATTCTAGGCATTTCAAAATATTGAAATCATTTACTATACATTATCTGATGACAGTGGAGTGAACATAGATATCAAAATAAAGATATCAAATCCCCAAATATATGAAAGTTATGCAAGGCACTTCTAATTCATGATACAAAGAAGACTTCTCAATGAAAATTTGAAAGTATTGTGAATTGAATAAAAATGAAAATACCACACATCAACATTTGTGGGATACAGCAAAAAGCATTAGTGGGCTACTAATAGCATGAAATTCTTCTATTAGAAAAGCAGAAACATCTCAAATCAATAATGTATACTTCTGTTTGAACCTAAAAAAAGAATAGCAAATTGTACTCCAAATAAGGAAACAAAAGGAAAGAATAAAGATAGAAATCAATGAAATTGAAAAGAGAAAAAAGTAGAATTAATGAAATCACCTAGTTATTAGAGAAGATCAGTCAAATGTTTTAACATATAACCATTCTGACAAAAAGAAAAAAAATACAAATTGCTAATATTAAGAATGAAAAAGAAGACATCACTAAATATATCTGACAGGTATTTAAAGGATGATAAGGCTTTCTGCCTATAGATTTGACAACGTAAACCTTCTCATAAAGAGATCTGTTTTCCTTGGGGAATCTATCAGACATTTCAGGAGTAAATAATATTAGCTCTACACAAACTCTTCAGGAAAATCCAAAAGTGTGTGTGAGGGGGAATACATCTCACCTCATTTCATGAGGATTGTATTGCTCCCATATTAAAACCAGACAAACATTTCAGGAACATTAAAAACAATATCCATGCCGGAACCGGTTTGGCTCAGTGGATAGAGTGTCGGCCTGCGGACTGGAGGGTCCCAGGTTCGATTCCGATCAAGGGCATGTAACTGGGTTGCGGGTACATCCCCAGTAGGCAGCTGATCGATGTTTCTCCTTGATGTTTCTAACTCTCTATTCCCTCTTCCTTCTCTGTAAAAAATCAATAAAATATATTAAAAAAAAAAAACATGCACTCACCATACAACTCAGCAATTCAAGTAAATTAAAAGATGATCACATAGAGCCCTATTATGAGAATATTTATAGCAGCCTTACTCATAATCGTCTCATATTGGAAACAACCCATCTTTTTCAGTTGGTGAATGGCCAAACAGCCATGGTGCATCCATATAATGGGATAATGCTGCGTAATATAAAGGATTGCGCATCTAATCTTGCAAGTACAGAAGTGAATCTCCAATGCATTATGCTAGGTGAAATAAGCTGTACTCAGAGGCTGTGATCCCATTATGACATTCTGGAAAAAAGCATTACAGGGATAGAAAACAGATCAATGGTTAGCTGGTGGAAGGTGGTTGAGGGATGGGGACGGGGAGAGTTGATTACAAAGTGGCATGAAGGAATATTGGAGGTAATGGAACTTTTCTGTGTCTTTACTGTGGTGATAATTACATGGTTAGTATTTGTATTGATCAAACCTCATTCAGCTGTGCACTGATAAGGATGAGTTTTAACATTTCTGTGATTAATATCAGTTTAGCACAACAGAGAATAGATCAATGTACCTGACGTGAGGACAATAGAAACCAACCAGATGAATTGAAAGAATTATTTTTTATTACATCTAGAAAGACATAACCTGGGGAACAACTGGCAGTCAGATGTGCATGGAGAATAGCAAGGAGTCAAGTATGCATGTCATTAGAGATCAGAAAGAGGAGAAACAGCAGTATAGGTGATTATTTGAATAATTATCCACATTTGATCCAAAACAACCATGTCCAGGAAATTCAGTGACCCTAGCAGGATAAATACATTTGAAATTTTACCAAGAACCCCCCGCTGAAGTAACCAATCATGGTAAAACTTCTGAAAACAAACAAAAAGCAGCCAGTGTGAGGGGGAAAGCAACACCGACATATTATGTTCGCCCCACCCCTCTCAGTAAGAATGACAGCTGACTTCTCTTAAGGAACTTGTAACTAGAAGACAATAACATCTACTAAAGTGCTGACAGAAAATAAAACAGGACATCCCTCTGTCAAGGGAAAATATTGCTAACCTACAGGTGTGAGTGTCTGCCCCCTGGTGGTCAGTGCACGTCTTAGCAACTGGTGGAGCTGTAGACAGAATGATGGACCTAGGGGTCGGACACTTAGCTTATTACACTTTTATTAGATAGGATAGGGTTACTGGCTGTGTTCCCTATGCTGTACTTTACATCCCCGTGACTATTTTGTAACTGCCAGTTGCTACTTCTTAATCCCTTCATCTTTTAAGGAGAAATCTTTTAAAACTGAAGGTGAAATAAAAACTTTTTAAGATAAACTAAAGCTAAGGGAATTGTCACCATCCCACCTGCACTACAAGAATTGCTAAAGGACGTTCTCTTGGCTGAGGGGAAAAGATACCTGATGGACATTCAGGTCCACATGCAAAGAGGAAGAGCTCAGTCCAGTTTATTCTCATAAGATGCTCTCTGTACTCACTGCCAGTCAGTGTTTTATTTTTTTCCAAATTCTGCCAAACCCATTACTGGATCCTGAAATCAATCTAGAAGGTCAGGACCAGGGTTTTTGTTCTTGAGAAGTAGAGTACAATGGGAAATACCAGAGTCTCAGTATTAACTTTTAACTTTATGTCAGGCCTGTAGGATTACATACTGGTTTACAAAGGAAAATGTCGTTTTTGATTCCTGGGTTGGAAGCCAAACTGTATGGAAACACTGCCCTGACTCCTTGGCCTTTCTGTGTCTTGAACATCCCAGTTCTTGTCTGTTGTCAGTCGCTGAGAACCTTCTCTCTGCATCTCTGCAGAGCCAGCTGCTTTCCAGCTTTCACATTTGAGCGGAAGCGTTTTCTCATCACAAGAGCCTCTCCTGCCTTTGTACAGAAGCAGGGCACTGGACTCAGTGTCAGCGTGAAATTGTAACAGAGCCGTAGGGCCAAAGAGCATTCAAAGGCTGTGTTTGAACTTACTAGGAAATCGTCCCTGGGAGGCAGACCTTTCTCAAAACTTGTGAATACTGGGGGGAAATGTAGGAAAGCCAATAAACCTAATGACATCTCTTCTAGGTGGGAGAAGATGTTGGATGGCGTGAAATCTATTTACCTGGAATTAAAATGCAGGAGTAAAGTTTTTAAAAGAAGAGGAACATCCTGCCTTCCATTCCTTGCCTCTTCGTTCACAGTGGAAATGACTACCTCGCACTCGGTTTTCTCTCCTCGGCTAAAACAGCTTTTCATTAATTCTGAAATTTCTTCACTTTTCAGTGGTCAAATGTCCATATCCATCACTCCCTGATGGAACTATTGTGTCAGGATTTGGGAAAAAATATTACTACAAAGCAGAAGTTGAGTTTGAATGCAACCAGGGTTATTCCCTTCAAGGCAGCCGCAAAATTGTCTGTGAAGCTGATAATACCTGGGTACCAGAGATTCCTCGCTGTCTTAAAGGTACAAAGAGTGTCTTTTACTTTTTTGTTGTTGTTTAGATTTGATATCTTGGAAATATAAATGACCGAGTAATTGAAGTGAAGCACGTTTAGTATTTATGTCTTTTCATGACACATGTCAAAGTCAGAAAGATTCTGCTTTTGTTACTTGTGTATTTTCATAGGGTTGGCACATTATGTATATCACACAGGTTATAAATTTTTCTTCTTTGACTTTATGTGGAAAACTGTATAGCAGCCATCTTTAAGAAAATTGAAGCATGGGTATTTTCATCTGAATAAGTTAGGAATGAAAAGACCTTGATTCCTAAGCGGTTAATTCAGTTGAAATTATTTTCTTTTCTAGTGGTGACTTCTCCTCCCAGTACCACACCTCCGATTTTGAGTCCTTCAGGTTTAGTAACATCCTGCTTACATTTTCAAAACTCTTTTGAATTCTTGGTGCTAATGCCAGCGATAACTCCCAAGTAATTTGATCCACTCTACATTATTTTGTTTTCCAGTGTCAACTCCTCCCAGCACAAAACCTCCAATTTCCAGTGTCACAGGTTTAGTAACTTCCTACTTATATTTTTTCAAAACCTTTTAAATCCCTGGTGATTTTTAGAAATCATTTTAATTCCTAGATATTTTTTCATAATCCTTTAACTATCTGGTGATTTGCACTCATTCATCATTTTTAGTAATGAAAGGAGGAAGCACATCTTTACAGCCATCCTACTTTTTTTCATAATCCTTTAACTATCTGGTGATTTACACTCATTCATCATTTTTTAGTAATAAAAGGAGGAAGCACGTCTTTACAGCCATCCTACTTGTTTTACGTAATGATTCTAAACTGATTTGCCACAACTTGGCAAGTTATGTAAACCTTAAATGTGTTTATTTACATGTAAAATTGTTCACTGCCTTCCTCACTGGATGGCAGGAACCTCTAAGTGGGATCCATTAAAACATTTAGCACAGTATCTGGCATATCCTAGTAGGAAGTTGTTAAAGGAAGCTACATGCCTTAACAGCATCGCTCCAGTACGTCAGTGAACAAGAAGATCCATGGCTTCTGTTTTTTAATGTTTGCTTTCTGTCATCATCATTGCTATTTTATCCATTTTAAAAGTGATCTATCTGGTGACACCTTTATAGGGTATCTTCCTGATCCAGGACAAAGTTCATTTCCTGGAGTGCAAACAGTTCCATTCTTTTTCTATAGTGCAATTTCAACTGGTACTTTTGGGTGGTGTCTCTAGAACAGCCGTGGGCAAACTACGGCCGGCGGGCCGGATTCGGCCCGTTTGAAATGAATAAAACTAAAAAAAAAAAAAAAAGACCGTACCCTTTTATGTAATGATGTTTACTTTGAATTTATATTAGTTCACACAAACACTCCATCCATGCTTTTGTTCCGGCCCTCCGGTCCAGTTTAAGAACCCATTGTGGCCCTCGAGTCAAAAAGTTTGCCCACCCCTGCTCTAGAACAAGACCCGTATTGCTACTACCCTCCACTCCCATCTCATACAGTTACTCTTTTTGCCTTTACTGGGCCCCTCCCTTTGTTTTTCAATCCTCACCTGAGGATGCTTTTATTGATTTGAGAGAGAGAGTGAATTATCAATTGGTTCCCTCCCATATGCACCCCAACTGTGGATCAAACCCACAACCTAGGTATGTGCCCTGCCTGGGAATTGAACCTCAACCTTTTCTTTTATGGGAACATGTTGTAACCAACTGAACCACCTGGCCAGGGCTTCACTAGCATTTTCATTTGGGAATAGAAACTAAATTTTATAGCAACTGAAATACAGGGAAAAAACTTACTTATTGAAATGAAATGGAGGACTTGTTGCATGGACTACTCATCAATGGCTCAGCCTAAGACTTGAGAGATTATTTTCATGTGGTGGAAGGAGTTGTCTTCCTGATTTCAGTGCTGCTTTCTTTGGCTTCTTGGTTTCAGCAGAAACAAGAGACAGGAGCAGTAGTGGGAAGAGCATTCGCCTGGGCTGACCTCACTAAGGGCCCTCGATTGGTTCTGCTTTCTCATGGAACATCATTTCTGTGGGCTTTAATTTCCTATTGGTTGAGGGTGTTGAACTCAAATCTCAATCCGTGACTTTCAATTTGCTTGTATATTTTCTGTTTTCCTAAGACCTTAAAAATTGAGGGAAGTTACGCATGTTAACATGGTAATTAGAACACCTTTTTATAATCCCTGTGTATGTGGCCCCTGGTAGTCTCCTTGAGTGTCTCAGTTGAGCGCTGTGAGGTCTGGGGAGTGGGGTGAGAAGAGATGGTTTTTGCATGTGAAGTTTATACTCATTGACCCATCGTGTTTATGCACATGTCCTAGTGGGTATATGCACTGTGGGATACTGTTTGTTGATATGCTCTTTTGAACGCGTTAACCATGAGAATTCATAAAGGGTTTATAAAACACCTTTATAATTTAGCATTTGAAAGAAGAGGAGCAAATTGATTGTGAGATGTTTCTAAACTATAGGGTTTTTAATTATTTTTATTCTTTTTTGTTGAAAGTATTACATATGTCCACTTTTTCCCCCTACTTACCCCCTCCAGTCACCTCCACCTCAGGCCTTCAGCAACCTGTTGTCTGTGTCCATGGGTTATGCCTATATGCATGCAAAGTCTTTGGTTGATTACCTCCCATCCACCCACCCTCTCCGGCCTTCCTTCTGAGATTCTGTTCCATGCTTCCATGTCTCTGGATCCACTCAGTTCATCAGTTTAAATATCAAAAATCAAAATTCTTCATGTGCCTGTAAAATATATTTTGTTATTAAAGAAAGAATCAGTAGTAACATGTAATAGTGATAAGGTATATCTAATTCTCCTCATATTAAAAAATACCCAAGAAGTGCTGAAGGAAAAGAAAAGGATAGAAATTATGTAAAGCAGCATAATGCTGCTTGAATGATATTTTTAAAAAGATACATATATTTAGCCCTGGCTGGTATGGCTGGGTTGGTTGAGCATCCTCCCAAGCACCTAAAGGGTTGCTAGTTCGATTCCTGGTCAGGGCACGTGCCCAGGTTGCAAGCTCAATCCACTGTCGGGATGTGTTCAGGAGGCAGCTGATCAATGTTTCTCTCATATCGATGTTTCTTTCTGTCCTTCTTTCTTCCTCTCTCTCTAAAAATCAATAAAAACATATTTCAAAAAATAATAAGATACAAATGTTAATTCTGAATACTTTTTTTTACTATTATTAAATAACTTGTGATTCCCATTGAAAAATACAAAACTGTAGTGAAGACTGTTATGCATACATTGTTATGTATTTTTAAAATATATATTTAGGTTAAATGCCAAGAAGTGGAATGGCAAAGTTCAGAAAGTATATGTATTTTTTATGTTAATGACTAACATTTTTATAAATAAAAATTCAACCCATAATATATTGATAAGGCCGGTGAATGGAATCAAATTTACTTTTCCAGGTGTCACGCCTAGTCCATCAACCAAGCCTCCAGTTTCAAGTAGTCCAGGTTCAAAAACTCTTTGTTCTACTTCTACTGTTAAGTTTATAATATGGCGGGTGGAACATTTTCATGTTATGTATTAATTTGCATTCTTTTAATGATCAGATAAGCTTTTTGTCTAAATTACTTATTCATGTCCTTTATTTTGTTGGGTTTCTGAATTACTTGTGTTGATTTATCAGAACTTTATATAAATTAAAGCCCCTTGCAGTGGTTCTCAACCTTCCTAATGCCGCGACCCTTTAATACAGTTCCTCATGTTGTGACCCAACCATAAAATTATTTTCGTTGCTACTTCATAACTGTAATGTTGCTACTGGTATGAATCGTCATGTAAATATCTGATCTGCAGGATGTGTTTTCAGGGGTTGTGACCCACAAGTTGAGAACCGCTGCCTAGAAGGAACACTTTTTTCTATTTTCCCCCCCTCCCCCCATTATTTTTCCCAGTTTCCTTTTAAGATTTTTACACTATTGGATATAGATTACTTTATATAACTACTTTCAATTACATAAGTAGTGTATATGAATATAAATTTCAAACATTATAGAGTAAAAGAATCTTCTCTTAGTCCATTGTATCTGTTTCTATACATCAATATCTTGTATGTGTAGATCTACATATTTTGGCAGTTTTTCTTTTATTTTACACAGAAATGGCATCATGCTGTTGATATTTTTCTAACACTTTTTACACTTACCATCTTAGATTGGGTTAGGGTTAGGGTTAGCGGTTGAGCATTGACCTATGAACATGGAGGTCACGGTTCGATTCCATGTCGGGCGGGACACATGCCTTGGTTGCAGGCTCCATCCCCACTGTAGGGCATGCAGGGGACGGCCGATCAATGGTTCTCTCTCATCATTGATGTTTCTCTCTCTCTCTCTCTCTCTCTCTCTCTCTCTCTCTCTCTCTCTCTCTCTCTCTCTCTTTTTCCCTTCCTCTCTAAAATCAATAAAAATATTTAAAGATTAAAATATATTTTTAAAAAAGATTGGGGTTTGTATTTAGACTTGGTCCCATCATTTTAATGATGACTTTAATATATGCCATATTTTACTCTATCAGTGGTCATGGATATGTGCAGAAGCTTCACATTAATAGGTAGCTAGCTATATTGATCACTTCCCTAATGGCTATGGGTGTTACCATTGTCTGTCTTATAAAAGCTTTAGATCTTCTCAATACTCAAATTACATAAACATTTCAATCATGTGTTCTGGTTGCATTCTTTGCATTTAAATTGTTGGTACATCTGAAATACTTACGTTATATGGAATAAGATACAGTTCCTTTACACTGCACCCACCCTATTTGTTAAGTTGTCTTCTCTCCAACTGTTTTGAAATGCCAATTTTTATCATACATTTTATATTCCCACTGCCAGTACACAAAGGTTCCAATTTTTCCGCCCTTTACCAACCTTGTTATTTTCTGTTTGTTTGTTTTTTTGAACTAGCCATTTTAATGTATATGAAGTGGAATCTCATTGTCATTTTTGTAGCATTTCCTAATGATTAGTGTTCATATTTTTTAAAATATATTTTTATGGATTTCAGAGAAAGGAGGAGAGAGGGAGAGAAACATCAATGATGAGAGGGAATTATCAGCTGCCTCCTGTATTCCCCCCACTGGGGATGGAGCCTGCAACCTGTGCATGTGCTCTGACGGGAATTGAACCCTGACCTTCTGGTTCATAGGTCGGCGCTCAACCACTGAGCCACACTGGTCCAGCAGTGATCATATTTTTATATGCTTATTGATGTTTTGTATAGCTTCTTTGGGGAAATGTCTATTCAAGTCCTTTGCTCATTTTTTGATTTGGTGTGTTTTTGTTGTTGCTACTGAGTTTTAGATGTTCATTATGTATTTTAGATATTAATCCGTTGTCAGTTGTATGATTTGCAGATGTTTCCTCCCATTCTTGGATTGCCTTTTTACTCTATTGATAGCATCGTTTGATAAACAAATGTTTTTAATTTTGATGAAGTCCCATGTATCTATTATTTTTCTTTTGTGCCTGTGTTTTTGGTGTCACATTGCCAGGTCCAACATTATGAAGCCTGTCCTCTGTTTTGTTCTCAAGAGTTTTATAGTTTTAGCTCTTATGCTCAGTTCTTTGATCCATTTTGCATTTTTGTGTATGGTAAAAGGCAGGAGACCAACTCCATTCTTCTGTGTGTAGATATCCAGTTTTCTAAGAACCACATGTTGAAAGACTGTTTTTTCCCTTTAGATATTCTTAGAATCCTTGTGCACATTTGACCATATTATGTGAGGGTTCATCTCTGGGCTTCTATTCATTTGGTTTGTCTTTTTGCCTGTATCACTGTGTTTTGATTCTTACAGCTTTTTAGTCAGTTTTAAAATCAGGAAGTTTGAGTTCCCTCAACTATGCTATTGTGTAGTTGTTTCAGGATTGTCTAGGCGATTTTTAGATCCTTGGATTTTAAGATTTATAAATTGGGCCCTACCTGGTTGGCTCAGTGGATAGGCATGAACCTGAGGACTGAATGGTCCTGGGTTCGATTATAAGTTGGATTTTTCTATTTCTAAAGAAAGCATATTCAAGATGGTGATAGGATGCATGTAATCTGTAGGTTTTTTGTAATATTAGCACAGGATATCTTTCTATTCATGTAGTCTATTACTTTCAGCTGTTTTGTACTTTCCAGTGTAGGAGTCTTTCACCTGCTTGATTGTTTTTTCCTAAGTATTTTATTTTTTATGCTATTGTAAATGGAATTGTTTTCATAATTTCCCTTTTGGATTGTTCATTTTTAGTTCTAGAAATGCAACTGATTTTGGGTGTACATTACGTAGCCTGCAACTTTGCTGAATTTATATTTTAGTTTCAACAGGTTTATGTTTGTGTAATCTTTAGAGTTTTCTATGTAAAAGATCATGTCATCTGCAACAGATAATTTTAGTGCTTCCTTCCCAGTTTGGGGGTGCTGGTTATTTATACTTTTTTGTCTTATTTCTGTGACTAACACTTCCAATATGATGTTCAGTAGAAGTAGGAAATGCAGGCATCCTGTCTTGTTCCTGATCTTAAGGGGAAAACTTTCATTCCTTTACCATTGAGTATGATATTAGCTATTGGTTTTTCATAAATGGCCTTATGTGTAAGTTTCCTTCTACTATAGATTAACTTCTAAATCCTGTTAAGCCTTCCTGTTTGTTTGTGTGGGTTTTTTTGTTTGTTTTTTTTATTTTAGAAAGGATTGGAGAGGGAGAGATCGATAGAAACATCAATGATGAGAGAGAATCCTTGATTGGTTCCCTCCTGCATGCCCCACACTGGGGATCGAGCCCACAACCTGGGCATATTCCCCAACTGGGAATGGAACCATGATCTCTTGGTGCATAGGTCGAAGCTCAATCACCGAGCCACGCCAGCCAGGCCCTATGTCTTTTAATTTTATGTAGAATCACATCAATCCATAGGCTAATTTTGATGTTAATCTAATGGTAAATTTAATTACTGTACCATAGAATATTGTCATAGGAAGTGTTACTGGACAGGAAGAATTCTGATGACATTGAATATAAATTTACAATATTTTATGATATTTGGAAAAGAAACTAATATAATTTATGTGAAGAAAATAAAATTATGAGAGTTTTTATTCAAAGGTAAAAATTCTAAACTTATAATTTAGAGGTCTCAATCTTTGTTATTGTCTTCTTTCTCTTTTTACTTACTTTTTTTTCTTTTTTTCTAGGACATCCCCCTCCTGATGAAACACCATCTCAATCATTAGGTATTATTTTAGTTTGTAATGCTCTGCAGTATGAGATCTTAAAGTTTTACATGGAAATATATTTTGATTACCTGTAGTTTGAGAAGGGTATAATCTATCACTAAAGTGTGAGAATTAACATTTGGTAATTTTACTAGTAATAGTGTAGATACCATGACAAATATACAGTAGTATGTGTAGACACATGTAATTAATACAGTTTTTAAGAGGGTTCCTTGTAAGCTGAGGTAACTTTCTCAAATGCTGTATTTATTTATAGGTTAAAATTTATAGGCTATAACTTTCTTTCCATGTGGTAGTGTCATTTTGTGATGGCAACTGGTAGGTAAGTTTTCTTTCTATTCATACCTTGTATACACACGCCTTAACGTACTATAAGTTGGGTTAATTTTTTTTTCATAACAAAGCTGATGTATCACACTTTATGTAGACTCACATAGTACACACAATATATATTCAAGAAACTGATCATTATAGTTGTGTCATTTAAATGAAGTATAAGGATTTTTGATGAATAGATAAAGAAAAATGTGTATTACTTTTCTTTACATTAGACTAGTTTAGTAAGGTTTGTCTTTTTATAAAATGCACCTTATGCTCGTTAAGTTTTTCCTCTGAACGCTGTGGTCAAACTGTCACTGTGCCAGTAAATCCAAAGCACCTTCATTCATTAAACACTTGACAATTTTTTTAATGAAGTAAAAAGCGTAGAGGTAAACAAGACATTGTATTTTTTGACTCATAGAAATTTAAGATATAATTAAGATTTTGTAGAATTATTTATTGCTCTCTTGATAGACAAAAATACTTGTTTAAGCATAATTTTATCCATGTGCCCTGGTGTTTCTTTTGCATTCTTAGAATCTCCTTGGTCTCTCTTAATTTGAAGGTGGGCATGCATGAGGAAGGATTGATGATAAGATCATGTATTATTTGTGAAGATTCAACATACTACATTTCTGTAATAAATTAATAGAACTTTATTATGACTTATTGCACAGATCCACCACTGTTGGTGAAAAAATATTTTGTAATAAAGTCATAAGAAATGATAGACTGAATACTGAACTATATCAACTAAGATGGAATAATACATTTTTAAAATGATTTTCCCACTAATCTCGTGAATTCTAATTGTTATAATATTTACTAATAACCTAGTGTGATAGCTACAGCACAAAACAGTATTGGGCCCTAAGCCTGGAATCGTATGAGAAGGGCTCTGGGCTCGTATGATCAAATGAGCTGGATGCACTGTCATACTAAACTAGACTGATAAACATTTTTTTTTGCTGTAGTTTATAGAGGATTTGGTTAACTAAAATGTAATTGCCACCTGGAGACCCACATGTGCTCAGTTATCTTCAAACTGGTTTTATTTTTCTCAGGTGCAGGAGCCATTGTTGGGATTACGCTAGCTGTTGGTAAGTGTCCCAACTTGGATCCCACTTAAATCAAAATATTAATTGAAGAGCATTATTTGTGCAACAGTTTTTCAATTTCTACAGTTTCTATAGCTTGAAATTAAGTAAACCAGTCTAGAAACACCTCACCTTTTATATGAGACTAGAGGCCCAGTGCGCGAAATCGCGCAAGACTGAGACCCACCATGTTGTGAGACCCATCAGTGCACCTCCTGGTGATGGGTAGTTTGGTCGATGGCGTTATGATCACTGGCTTTTTATAATATAGATACTGCCTTGTGTTGCTGATTATATATTCATTTATATTCTATATGTCCACTTAGTAACAAATCCTAAAAAATACATGTTTTTTCAAGATGATTAGTCATATGAGTTTGCATGCCAAATATGCTTTGGGTATTTTTTTAAATTGGGAAAAGACTCTTCTCTGGCTTACTGTGGACTAAGGAATTGATTCCAGAGACTTGCACTTAGACAGTGAAGAGTCCAGATGGAACAAATGAATGGCCAGGGCAATGTGCTTAAATAAAATAGCATTTTCTGCCCACTGAACATAAGTTTCTTCTGCTAGGTTTTGAATCTTGGTGATTAGTTTTCAGTTACATTTCATTTGTTCTCTGGTTTATAGTAGTTGTTGTCTCGGGACCCATCGCCTTATTGGTGTACTATAAGAAGAAGAGGAAAGGGTAACGTATAGCACGTTTCTTGAACATATTGGTGCCTCTCCCTCTTGACGTACTTTTGTGCAGCTTGTGTTTACACTCTGTATTGCATGCATTTTTTTTTCAATGTGCCTACATGACTGTGCATTCAGAATTGCATTTCTTTACTAAAAATATTTACAGCAAATTATACTATCATTGTAACAAGAGAAATCTGTGTAGAGTTGCTTCAGCTATATGTCTGTAAGAAAAATTTCTGTGTGATTTGGGGTTTCAGTTCTGCAACAAATCATGGACCATGATGGGACCTTCCCTACTGTAGGTAAACCCTACATTCCAAATTAGGCTGGTGGCCAGAATTAAATTTAAAATTGTTCACTGGAAATTTTGACAGGTATATTCACTGGAACTTTTTTATGAAAACGTTCCATTTGTTTTTATTAAGTAGTTGTAAGAAGCTATGTAGATGTCATCAAATTTTTTTTTCATTTAGAATTATTATTTATACTAGTTAAACTTGGGAATTAAAAGCAACACTATTTGATTTCCCTCTTATGTTCTCTTAATTTACTAGGTTGCAGAAAAACTGATGGGGGTTAAACTTGCTGAGAGGGGTAAGATTTATAAGGCACCTCATTAACTTTGTCTTTTTATTTATAAAAAATGAAAAAAGATGGGAAACTTAGAAAATAATAATGTATAAATCCTAAGGTCACAGGGTTTGTAAACATTAATCTTAATTTCAAATGAAATAATTTATAATTTAATGAAAGAGAATAAATCCTGGAGCACAGACAAGATTAGGTACTTTGAAATTTGATTTTTAATTATTCATTCTTCCCAATTACTTTGGAAATAGCTTTGAAATCAAACCAATACTTTTTTTTTAAATCCTCACCTGAGGGTATGTTTATTGATTTTTAGAGAGAGACATCCCTATCATTTGCCTCTCGTATGTGCCCTAACCGGGAATCGAACCTGTAACCTACATATGTGCCCTGACCGGGAATCGAACCCACAATTTTTTGGTGTACAGAATGATGCTCAAACCAATAATTTTAAGAATCTTGGTATTCATGATTTTATGATATATTTTTTTTATTAATCATTGTGTTTAGACTATGTAGTAAAAGTATGTTCTGCACTCAGAGAGAGCTCAAACTTCATTATATTATTGGGTTTAAGTACTCGCAGTGCCTTCATTTGAGTCTTCAATCTTATATTTGTAGAACACATGCTATTTCCCTCTTAGTAGTATTTTTTAAATTATCCATACACATCAGCCTGAGTAGGAAGTACTTTTACAATTCCAAAAGGTTCATGTAGAAATAATTTCTAAAGAAAGCAAAGTAATATAGCATTGTGTCCCTCACTTTCCTTCTTTGTTTAGAACGTCACTGCATCATAAAGATTCTTAAACACGTTTGAATCCCACACTCTAGCTGTCAGTTGAAGGTTACTTTAAAGCTGAAGAAGTATCTGAGCGCTGTATGCCCGGATTCAGTGTTCAGCACCACAACTGATCTGAGGTTCCATTTCCGATGAGCCCTACGTGGTGGTGCTGCTGGGCCTGGCCTACAGTTCGAGCAACCAGGGTGAAGACATTAGTGATGTGCCAGTATACTTTCAATATGAGGAAATACAATGAAGTTTATAGGCAAATTTTTCTCTTAAGATAGATTTTTTAAAGACTCCTTAAGAGTATTTGGGTTAAAACTTAGTTTTATCTTGCTTTTTTAAAAACTAAATATTTATATTCTTTGCACTGTTCAGTGTTCATAGTCTGTGTTCCTCCCTTCCTGCAAACTGGTTGTGGTGGCCTTAGAAACTCCTTTTCAGAACTATAAGATGCATGCAGTTTCTTCCCCATTTGTAGGGGTAACTCTGGAAGCAGGACACCAGGCACAGATAATCCCAAATTGCTGTTTAAACTAGGCACAAATTGGATTTGATGTAAACTTGTATTTATGATGATTTGGCAACACAATAGCCCTTCTATGGACTTCATGCCAAAGTACAAAATAGTGAGGGGGTACAGGATGTCCATGGCATAGGTGAACACTGAACTCCCCTCTTCCCACGAGCACATCAAAATTTGCACCTATATAAAGAGCAGTAACTCCTGATAGGCAACTGAGGGCTCATTGAACAGCTTCTGAAGAACAAACAAGAGGAGGAGACCAAATAGAGAAATGGGAAACCACAGCGGCTCTCCCGAACCTGCAGGAAATCTGTGAGAGGAGGTGCAGGTAAACTCCATTGTATACATCGCCCTCCACCTGGATAAGGTGAGTGGGAGCTCTCTCTGGGTGCCTTGGCCCACCTGCAAGATGGCCGCAGTGTGTTCTCAGCCACACTCCCTGTAGCCCATTTTGGGTCTGAATGAAAGGCGTAAGCAGTGTGAACAAGGTGTCCGTGACCGGAGCTCCTCCATCCGACAGTCCAGAGCCCTATGCGCCCGCCTGGCTCCCCCTGGCTGCCAACACTACCCAGTACTCACAGCTACTCACTTTTACACAACAAAAGGGAGAGACCTGGTAGAGAAGATGAGCTGCAAGAGCAGTATGGAACTCTCTGAGGTTGGCGTTACCAGTGAGCACCATTGTATATCCTCTACACCTTGAAAGAGTGGGCGGAGCTCTAACTAGGTGCTCGGGCCTACCTGCAAGTTTGCTGCCTCTCATTTTCAGAATTATCTGAACCAAAGCGGGGAAACAGGATCACTAGGGCACACACCTGACCTCCCCACCTGGAGCCTCTCCATCTCCGTAGCCCCATGCCTCAGGCACTGTAGGCACCTGCATGGGTCCAAGTACCCCACCAACAACCACCTGACACATCCTACACAGAGGCCACTTTGTGAAGACGGAGAGAGCGCTATTTGGTCTAATTGATATTAACGAACATAGAAAATGACACAATGAAAACATAAAAGAATATCTCTCAAATGAAGAGACAAAAAGTCTCAGAAAAAATCCTAATGAATGGAGAGAAGTATTCTGCCTGAGAAAAAATTTAAAGAGACAGTCATAAGGATGCTTATCCAACTTGAGAGTGGAGTAGAGGAACTTAGGGAGAACTTCAGCAAAGAGTAAGTATGCTGAAGAATGCAACCACTGAGACGAACAATAAACACAGGGATCAACAGCAGTTTAGCTGAAACAGAAGAATCAGTGACCTATAAGACAGGCTAGTGGACATGAACCAATAAGAACAGCAAAAAGAAAAGGATTTTTTAAAATGAGGCTAGCTTAAGGGATCTCTAGGACAACATCAAGTGCACTAAGATTTGCATTGTAAGAATCTCAGAAGCAAAAAAAGGGAATGGTACAGAAACTTTATTTGAACAATAGCTGAAAACTTTCCTAACATGGGAAAGGAAACAGACATCCAGGTCTAGGATGCGCAGAGAGTCCCGATATAGGAGTGCCTAAACATATAAAGCAAATGCTGTCTTCAGAGGGAGAAATTCACAGCAATACAATAATAGTAAGGGATTTTAACATCCGCATTCACATCAATGAACAGACCATCCAGACAGAAAATTAATAAGAAAATAATGCCCTTAAGTCTCACATTTCATCCAAAACTGCAAAGTACACATTTTTTCAAGTGCAGATAGAATACTACTCTCCAAGATAGATCATATTGTATGCCCCCCAAATTCAAAGAGATTGAAATCATGTCAAGCAAACTTTTGAAACACAGTGGCATAAAACTAGAAATCACCCACAGGAAGAAAACTGGAAAAATACAAATATGTGGAGACTAAATACTAGCTTCTATACAATCAATGGATTAAAGAGAAAAATAAACAGGAAATGAAAAGCTGTCTTGAGTCAAATGAAATTGAAGACACAACTAAAATTTATGGAATGCAGCAAAGCAGTTCTGGGTGGGAAGTTCATAGCTATACAGGCCTACATCATGAAACAAGAAAAATCCCAAATAATCTAACTTTACACCTGTGGGAACTAGAACAAACAAAACCAAAAGTAAGCAAAGAAATCATTAAAATCAGAGCAGAAATAAACGAAATAGGAAAAAAGAAAAGAATGTAAGAGCTGGTTCTTTGAAAACGAAACAAAATTGACAAACCTTTAGCTAAATTCATCAAGCAAAAAGGAGAACCCAATGAAATACATAAACGAAAAAGAAGTTACAAATGACACCAAAGAAATACACAGAATAATTAAGGAATATTGTGAATGTATGCCAAAAAAATGCCACAGTCTGGAAGAAATGGATGCATTTCTAAAAGCACACATACAATCTTCCAAGACAAAACCAGGAAGATATAGAAAGTCTAAACAGATAAGTTACTAGCAATGAAATTGAAATGGGTTGGGGGGTAAAATAAAACTTCAGGATCAGAGGGCTTACAGGTGGATTCTAAATATTTAAACAAGTAATACCTGCGCCCTAGCCAGTTTTAGTTTTGCTCAGTGGATAGAGCATCGGCTTGTGGACTGAAGAGTTCTGGGTTCGATTCCAGCTAATGGCACATGCCTGGGTTGTGGGCTTGATCCTTAGTGGGGGGTGTGCAAGAGACAGCTGATCAATGATTCTGTCATCCACCAAAAATTAATAGAAAAGAATTGAGTAAAGTAGCAGGATACCAAATATACAGAGATCCATGGCATTCTTACACATCAGTAATGAACAATCAGAAGGATCAAACAGCATAAAATACCTTGGAATAAGTTGAATCAAAGAGGTCAAAAACCTGTATCCTGAAAGAAACTGAAGAGGATACAAATAAATAGAAAGATATATGCTTAGTAATTGTAAAAAAAAAAAAAAAGACCTTGAAAGCAAATGAAACTTTAAGAATTAAGTGGGAGGTATCAGACTTCCTTATTTCAAACTAGACTACAAAGCAATAATAATTAAACAATATGGTACTGGAATAAATACACCTAAACAATAGAATAAAATAGCCCAGAAATTCTCACTTATATGGTCAGTTAATTTATGATAAAGGAGCCAATACAATGGGTGTAAAGACAGGTCTCTTCAAAAGGAGGTGTTGGGCCCTGACCGATTTGGCTCAGTGGCTAGAGCGTCGGCCTGCGGGCTGAAGGGTTCGATTCCAGTCAAGGGCATGTACCTTGGTTGCGGGCACATCCCCAGTTGGGGGTGTCCAGGAGGCGGCTGATCAATGTTTCTCTCTTATTGATGTTTTTAACTCTCTATCCCTCTCCCTTCCTCTATGTAAAAAATCAATAAGATATTTTTTTAAAAAAAGTGTTGGAAAAATTGAGAGTTGCATGCAAAAAAAGTAAAATTGAACCAATTTCTTATACCAGATACAAAAATAAGCTCAAAATTGATTGAAGACTTAAATATAAGATCTGATTCCCTGAAATTCCTAGAAGGAAACATAAGTAGTAAACTCTTTGACATCAGCCTTAGCAAATATCTGTTTGGATATGTCTCAGGAAAGGGAAACAATAGCAAAAATAAACAAATGGGACTACATCTAAGTAAAAAGTTTTTGCAGAGTAAGGAAATCATCAAGAAAATAGCCAGCCTATTGAATGGGAGAAAATATTTTCCAATATTCAATAAGGGGTTAATATCCAAATACATAGGGAACTCATACAACTATAACATCCAAACAACCCAATTTAAAAATGAGCAGGGGACTTGAGCAGACATTTCTCCAAGGAGAACATACAGATGGCCAACAGGCATATGATAAGATGCTCAACATCACTAGTCATCCGGGAAATGCAGGTTAGAATCACAATGAGATACCACCTCACACCTGTTACAGTGGCTATCAAGTCAGTGCTGGCAAGGATGTGGATGCCGGCAGTGTTGGTGGGATTGTAGACTGGCACAACCACTATGGAAAACATATGGACATTCCTCAAAAAATTCGAAATAGACTTACTATATGACCCAGCAATTCCACTTCTGGATGTTTGTCCAGAGAAAACAAAATTACTAATTTTTAAAGATATATACAGCCTTACGTTCATTGCAGTATTATTTATAGTGGCCAAGATACGGAAGCAACCTAGGTGTCCATTGATAGGTGGATGTGTAAAGAAGATGTGGTTAATATATACAATGGAATGTTACTTGGCAATAACGAAAAACAGAATGATTTTGTCATTTGCAACAATGTGTGTGAGTCTACAGGGTACTATGCTAAGTGAAATATGTCAAAGTCAAAATACCATGTGATTTCATTTATATGTGGAATCTGAAAAATACAAAACAAATGAAAAGAAAACAAAATGAAAGAAAACAAAACATACACAAACCCGTAGATACAGGGAATAAGCTGAGGGTTGCCAAAAGGAGAGTGATTTGGGATGATCGGTGCATTGAAATGAAGAAATGAAATGAAACACGAAATTGTAAAGAATGAGACATAGTATAGCAAAACAAACAAAACGTCCATGTACATGTAAGACTTGATTATACCTTAGACTTCTTTGGAGACATTACTGCTAGAATGTACAAGGCAACATTTGGTAGAGGGTATGTGAGGGCAGGAGAATACATTAGACTCTAATGATTAGAGGCCCTTGTATCATTTTCTAAAAAGCACATGATTGGGAGTCTGTATGGGATAATGTCACCAAAAATGATTACATACGAGGAAACTGCTATCAAAAGGAAACTGTCCCTCATCCATTGGCTAAAGAAAGAGGACAAACAAAACAAAAACCAAAGTACAAAATAGAATAAGTAGTCCTTTTAAGATTATTAAGTATCATTTAAATTATGGTGAAGCCCAGCCAGTTTGGCTCAGTAGTTGAGTGTCAACCTATGAATCAGGAGGTCATGGTTGCATGCCCAGTCAGGGCACATGCCCCAGTTGCCGGCTCAATCCCCACTAGGGGACATGCATGAGACAACAAATCAATGATTCTCTCTCATCGTTGATGTTTCTTTCCCTCTCCCTTCCTCTCTGTGAAACCAATAAAAATATATTTTTTAAAATGTTTTTTTTTTTTTTATCGTGATGAAAATGGCCACAAAATTTAAGTACTCTGGTACGTTCTTCTATTTCTTAGCTCTCAGCTAAGAATACTAACAATAGGATCCCAAATTGGTCAGAAATGGGCCCCATCTACACGTTCCTTCCTCGTCCGTCCGGTTTCCGTCCTGAGCTGCTACCCTGAACTTTCCAGTCTGGGTGTGCACAGCCCTTGACCTGTCCTTCGCTATTGCTGCCGTCACGTTTTGCGTGTCTTGACTGTGCGCTGCCAGCTGCCTTTTGTTTACATTAATATTTTCCCTCATTTGTAGTGAATACTTTCCTCACTGATGCATGGTTTTCTTTATTCTAGTTATATCATTCCAGGATAAGTATGAGTTTGCCATGTTCATTAGAATTCTCTGCATAATTTATGTATTTTAATAATGTGACTAAATCGTTTTGCTTTCTTACATTAAAGATATTTAATGACTTGTTATAGCATAAACCCGTTTTTAATATTAGGTTAATCATGCCTGATGCAGTAACTGTGGTTTTTAAGCCACCTGCTTAAATGAATGTCACCAGGTTTGGGGGATTAACTGTATATAGTGGCCAGGGCAGGTGGCTGGCAGAATAGTGACCTGGGACACAACAACAGAAGGATCAAATGAACGTGCACATTTTTCTAATTGGGTCTCAAATTCTGAAGCATTCAACAAACTCTTCAAATATTTTAAACAGAAGACTAAGAAGAAACAAAGATTTTGTAGTTAGTGGAGAGAGCACATTTATGAGATTTAGACCCAGCCCAGGAAAATGGGAGAGGTCTGATAACGAGTTTACAGAGATCTTCCCTCAGTGCAGAAGTCAGGAAGCAGCTACAGATGTGCAGCTTGTCATAAAGCAGATTTCTAAGACAGTACTACGTGCATTTAATACTGTGCCGTGTGCTCCCTCGGAGCCTAAGGTGCTAGAGCCCAGGCCATTTCTCCTCCCCACCGTGCTAGCCTGTGAAAGAGTTTGTTCACTTCAGGATCTGTAAGATTCTGGCGGAAAGTAGCTTCTGGCACCACGCTCCTCTTGCCAGTTCCTAAGAGGCAGAAACGTCATGATGTCTGGAGCTAATTGTCAGCTTTCCTTCTGTTCGGCCCTGTCATTGATTTTATCCCCGTTATTATGCCACTCTTCCTTATGATTTGTTACCACTATTTTATTCAGCCCTTTTCCCTTCCTCTGTTCAGCACCTACCTAACTGGTGAGAGCCACAAAGAAGTAAAATTTATTTCTCTATGAGAAGAAGAGATGAGAGAAAGGTTTGCTTTTATCATCATAAGGTATCTGCTTCCTGTGTGTTTCTTTTCAGATGTCCTTTCTTTTGAAAAATGTTGAGTGAATATGTAGATGTCAGTCACCTCAGCTAAGATATGATGACAGTAAACATTAACAAGGACACTTAGACTCCAGTCTCCGTTGCTAAATTACCGACTTAATACCATTCCAGTTTTAATGGAAAGTAGTGTGGACTGGCAGGGTTTGGTTTGAGGTGGGCTCATTAGAGTGACGTTCTCTTGTCTTTATCTAGCAGCTGTACATCCATAAATGAGGACTTTTTTAGCCCAATGGGAAATAATCATAAATTTGTTCATGTTAAGTACAGGGAGGGAAAGTTTCCTTTTACAGAAATCAAAAGACGCTTTACTTAATTTTGCGAATGTGTTCAATTTTAACTTACAAATGTTGACTCCCTGAAGGCATTTGTCTCTCCCTTGACCAGAATAGTTTTAGTATATGAAAGAGAAGGCAATTTAAAAAATCAGATTTTGAAACATTTTGAATTGCACTGTCTTAAGCCCTATGACCCCCTCCACCTTCTGTCTGAATGACAGGAGCTGGAAGTGCCCCCCTGTTTGTGGCGGACTGTGCCTACATAGCAGGGAGAGAGGGAGATCTGTATCCAACAGCTGTAATGTGAGGCCCTACCTAGGTCACAATCAGAAGCTTAGGGCAGATTCTACAAAGCCCATTGGGGAGGGCAACTTAGTAAAAGCAAAGTGGTGTCTTTGATCCCCGGGCAAAGGCAAGTGACATCCCAATTAGACGGGCAGCTGGGCCTCCCAGCCCCCCTGTCTTCCTGGTCTCTCAGGATTCTCTTGAGGCTAAAGCCAACCAGGACTGTTGTTTTCAGATTGCCGTGAGCTTCATGGTGTCTGTAAACAGTTGAAATTAATTGAATGAAAGGCAAGGTTAATACAAAATAACCAGTAATTGGGTTTCAGATTTTTATCATCAAGTAGCTTCACTGTTATTTTATCAGGTGTTTTTAGACATTTGTGAATTCTTTTTATCACATATTGCAATTATATTTCAAATTCTTTTTAAAGAAGTTTCAGAAAATAAAATGAATCGACTATGAAACACAGAAAAAGGAAGCGGTGTTGGAGAACTCAGTGACAGGCCTACCCTTTGCCTCCCTCCCCACCACAGTCCTCAGGACCTGGCTCTGTCCCAAGGGCAGTCCTGTGACAGTGGTGGTTCACAGAGCTGGTCTCCCACCAAGAGAAATATTCTAATATGCAAACCAACCTGGAGCCCTTGCACTGGGAGGCGTCCCTGAAGTGCCTGCTCTGAGGAGCAAACTGAATCACTGGCTGGGCCATTTTAGCTTTAGCCTGCCTGCGATGGTGCATTCACTGAGGCAGGGACTACGGCTGCCATTTTCCAATTTAATACTTAGTGATTGTTAATATTCCAATTTAGTAGTTAATAATCCTATTGAGGACTTCAAAAGTAGCTAGTCCAATGCAAGATGTGCTGGAAGTGTGAAATACACACCAGATTTTAGCGTTAGCACACAAAATGTAAAATCGTAGCAAATGTTAATATTTTCACTGTATTGGGACAAGTAAATATATATTAAAATTAATTTTCCAGTTTCTTTTACTTTTTTAATGTGGCTTCTAGAAAATTTAAAATTACCCCTATGACTCACATTTTTTTGGACAGCACTGGGCTAGAATAGCAGGTTTTAGGCAGATGTCTGTTGCTACAATAATGGTGTGATGGCCACGTCAGTTAGGTAGGAGCATCCCTTACGGGAACCTGTGGTTTCCTTGACAGTATGGGAGAAAGGCATCATTGAGCAGGAACACTGTTGGAATCATCACCTTTTAAAAGTTTTATCTCAGAGGTAGATCTAAAACTGCTATATTAGGAGAACACGTTTCTCCCCAGTCTTTCCCATTGGCCCTAAATATAATTTATGAGATATTTACCAAGTACTTTATATACAACTGCTCTAAAAATTCTTGTTTGCATGGAGTAAATAATACAATATAGGGGTAGAAGAAGGGGTTCTACAGTTGAATTGTCCATTTTCTAGGTAGGCTTCTGAATGTAACTTCTGTACTTAAATTGTGTTTGTCTCTGATGCTACCTCTTTATTTTGCCTTTAGGAAAACAGAAGGCACTGCTGCCTACAGCACATACCAGAATAAATCAAGCACTCCAGCACCGTAGACTCTCTGACGGACTTTCCAGAATGCTCTACCACTTCATCTTTTTTAAAATGTCAAGAAAGACCCACATTAAATTCGATGGCTACTATGCAAAACAGTATGGAGGGCCCTCAAAATTAAAACCGGAGCCACCCTATGATCTTATGGGAATATACCTGAGTGAAGGGAAATCACTGTGGAAGAGAGAATCTTCGGCCCCTCCCTGTTTGTTGCAGCACCATTTACAATAACAAAGACATGGAAGCAGTCTGAAGTGTCCGTCAACCAATCAGTGGATAAGGGAGATGCATGCACGTACAGTGAAATACTATTCAGTCATTAAAAAGGAAAACGTGTATTGGCCCTCAGGACATTTTGTTAAGTGAAATAAGTCATATATATAAAGAGACAAATACTGTATGATCTCCTTTATATGTAGAGTCTATTTTAAACTCATCAAAGAAGAAATCAGATTTGTGGGTGGTGGGGTGAGAGAATTGGATGAAGGTAGTGGTCAAAAGATTCAAATTTAGTTATAAGCACATATTGGAATGTAACGTACAGCATGGTGACTATAACTAGTAATACTTTATTGCATATTGGCAAGTTCCTTAAAGAATAGATCTTAAAAATTCTGATGACAAGGAAAAAGATTTTTTTTGTAACTATATGAGTTGATAGATGGTAACTAAAATTTGCTCATCATTTCATAATAAACTTATCAAATCCTTACGCTGTACACCTTAAACTTTGATAATCTTACATATCAATTACATCTCAATGAACTAGAAGGGGGAAAAGATCTACAAAGGCGTTCTCTGGTTTATTTCACTATGAAGGCATAATGCTAACATCTCAATGCTGCTTGGATGTAGTCACTATCCTTTGACCCCTCTGAAATGGGTGTGAACTTGGGAATGAACATCTAGCCTGTTATCCCTTAAAAAATTTGCATTTATAGAGCAATTCAACACAGTGCCCTTGGATTATGGTAGGGAAATGATGTTTTTTTATAAACTCTGAATATTTAGAGAAGTAAAGTATAGTTTAAAATGAGACATTTCATCTATAAAGAATGTGACTTTGCAATGTTCATTTCCAAAGTTAATACCAACTTTCAAGACTTTTAACAACTCTATTATGTGTATTGTAGATAGTTTATTGTAAAAAGTCTGTACAGATATGTGTATACTGCTTCAGCCCTTAAAAATTAAAAACAATTATCACTGAAAACTGGGAATTTGAGTAAGTGTGACCTCCTTAACTAAGAATATTATGGGAAAGTAATTTTACAGGGGATGGGATAAGTTTCTATTTTGCAAAATATATTTTAACTTCTTGGTGATTTAGAGAAGCCATGAAGTTAACGTGTGGCATTTGTTCACCTTTTCTAACATCAACAAACCAGCCTGAGAATAACAACTTAGGCTCAGTTGCTTGCTTCTGTGAAAAGTTAGAGGGCGCTAACATTCCTAACACAAATGCCCGCTTGGTACAAAGTGAACACTGTGGCCTTGTAGTTTTTTGGGGGAGAATTCCCCTCTTTAAGAGAACATAGAATGCGCTCTGAATTCTGGCCTAGGGGGTTTTCTCTCCTGACTTGAATAAAAAGCTCTCACTTCAGTAAGTCACCTGACAGTAGTTTGTAGGGAGTAAATTCAACAGATGTCCCAAGTTGCATCAGAATTATTCTTTGTGTGGGTCTCACCTCACCTGCTAAAAGGCAGAGTAAACATTAAGCCACATATTTCAGAAAAACAAAAACCTAAACTTTGTGTGTTGGTGGTTGGTCCTATGCAGGGAAGGGAAATCACATAGCTCAGGTATCACTTCATGCTCCCTCCCTCTCTGAGTCCTCACACCTGACAGGGTCTCTTTCAGATGAGCCATGGGTCAAGAGGAGGAACTGCCACTCTCATTTATTCTTAAAGGGGTTGTTTTTATTTATATTTTTATTTTTAGTGACTCAAATTGGTCTGAAGAAATGTTGCCCTGAAAGGGACATGTTTGGAAAATCTGAGTGGCCCAGAGTAAATACTATTTTACTCTATAAAGTGTTCCTTCCCTTTGTAATCTCTGGGGAGGGGCATTTTTCAACCAAAGATTGTTATGCTTCCCCAAATTAACTTTTATAAGAGTGCTTCAAGTTTACTCTTTTTAAATTTTATATGAGATACATGCATATAACTATTATGTTGTGAAATTCTGTTACTGAAATATATGGGGAAACCACTTTTCTGTAGAAAAATTTGTTTAAATGACAGAGGAGGAAGTATATTTGAATTAAATGTTTCTTAAAACGACAAGAATGTATTTGCTTGAAGTGGGAAGCCCCACGAATGGAGGTCTTTATTGCTTTTTGAAAAATGTGTTCTTAAAATCTGATAAAATAAAATGTAGAGTGGTTTAAATTTGCTTTCTGTCAATGTGCTCATTTCCAGTGTGCTTGATTTCAAATCAGAGTATGTTTCTAATGGGGTCCCACCCTCTCTAACCTTTCCACTCTCACAGTCATGACTCCTCCTCACATCTCAGAGCCTGACATACATCCAGGCTTCTCCACTCCCAGCCCATTGGGCCCATCACCTGCCTCTCCTGCTCACAGGTGTTCAGTGACACCTACAGCAGAAGTCCAAGTTCCTCAGCATGATGCTTGAAGACTTTCCACAATTAAATCCCAAATTTTCTCCCCAGGGCTCCTCTTTCTGTTGCATTTCTCTAAGTAACACACTGTTAGTCAAGCTGTGCCATCTGCCCTGTGCTGCATTCCTGCTTCACCGGTGCCTGAGAGGCCTGTGGTCCTGTCAGATCCTGGGCATCTTCCAGGGCCAGCGCCTCATGCCCATTGGGTGAAGCTTTTCCTGATTTCTGCCCAGGTGTCCTATCACCCAGCTTGAGGCAACCACATCTGAGTATCTGTAGACACTGCTAGGACACATACCTTCCACATCAGTTTAATGTGTGGGTATGGCTAAGTACTTACAATCCCAAGTCCAACAATCCTATCTAATAAAGATGGAATATGCAAATTGACCATCCCTCCATCACAAAAGTAGGCGGCACCCATAGCCACAAGATGGTGGCACCCAGTCCCCTCAGCCCCGCCGGAGTAGTCCTTTTAGCCCTTGCCGTAGTGAGGGGCAAGCAGGCCCCCGAAGAGAGCAGGCAACAGGGCCCTGCTTGCCCCTGGCCGTGGCTATGAGTCAGAGAGCAGACAGGCAGGCAGGTCTGCAGAGAACCAGAGGGAGTGGGCCCTGGTGTCTGCTCTGAGTAGGCTGTCAGTAGGACATCCCCTGAGGGCTCCCAGATTGGAGAGGGTGCAGATGGTGCTGAGGAACCCCCCCCATCCCCAGTGCATGAGTTTTGTGCAACGGGCCTCTAGTGAAATTATAAGATTTGATTTGTGTAATAGGATTTTTTTTTTTTTTTTACTTAGGTAAAAACAAACAAAAAACCCTTACTCTTGACATTAAATCAGGTTGCTGAACCTCTGAGATCCGGCTCCGTGGGACTCAGCCATGGCTGCAATCACTGGCAGAGCTTTCACCCAGCGTTTCCCAACATAATGGATCTGCTCTGTGCCCTGGGCAGAGGGATGTTTTTAAAGCTCCCCAAGTGCTTCTAATATGCAGCTAAGGTTGAAACCTCTGCATTAGTGACTCTCATCCACAGTCCATTTCTACGTGGAAACTTATAAATACAAGAAGCGCCCTAGCTGGTTTGCCTCAGTGGATAGAGTGTCAGCCTGTGGACTGAAAGGTCCCAGGTTCGATTCCCGTCGAGGGCATGTACCTTGGTTGCGGGCACATCCCCAGTAGGAGGTGTGCAGGAGGCAGCTGATCAATGTTTCTCTCTCATCAATGTTTCTAATTCTCTATCCTTCTCCCTTTCTCTCTGTAAAAAATCAATAAAATATATTTTTTAAAAAATACAAGAAGCAATCTTTCTAATACCGACACTGGAGGAAAATTAACTTGACTATAAACAAAGCATTTTGTTAAAAAATTTTTTTAAAATATATATTTTTATTGATTTCAGAGAGGAAGGGAGAGGGAGAGAGAGAGAGAGATAGAAACATCAATGATGAGAGAATCATTGATTGGCTGCCTCCTGCACGCCCCACACTGGGGATCAAGACTGCAACCCAGGCATGTGCCCTTGGCCAGAATCGAACCTGGGACCCTTCAGTCCGTAGGCCGACGCTCTACTCACTGAGCCAAACCGGCTAGGGCTTAAATTTTATTTGGCTTTATCTTGAGGTTATTTTTTATACTTGTATATTGGTATAAAATATATAGGAGACCATTCAAGGTGGGTGACAATAAAAGTCTTCTACGAAAATGCTAAAAAGTGGGAGGGGAGGAATTTGAATTTTCATTGTTAAAGGAGATGTTAGGTTTAAGGAACTGGTATTCTAAAATTTAGTAATGCCTAATGCCTGACAGCTAATATGGTAACTCAGAATGAACTTTTTTACATATTTTAAGAATTTGCATATTTGAACAGGATTTAACCTAGTGTACTGAAATCATGCAAAATTGAGGGTACTCATTTTTTTTTCCCCTAACCTACATTACTTTCATTTCCAGTCTTGTCCATGAAAAGTTTCTTACACACACACACACACACACACACACACACACACACACACACACACGCGCGCGCGCGCTATTTTTGTAAATCGTAGCACTGCTGCCCCCATGTGGACAGTTGGAGTATTGGACAATCTCTTCCTTAGCCCTTCAAATTCTTTTGTTTTTAAAATGTTTTTATTGATTTCAGAGGGAAAAACATTGATAAGCTGCCTCCTGAACATACATATATCCACTGGGAATCAAACCGCAACCCAGGCATGTGCCCTGACCAAGAATGGAACCGTGATCTCCTGGTGAATGGGTCCACACTCAACCACTGAGCCACACCAGCTGGGTGCCCTGCACACTCTTTATTCAGATGTTTGAGTCACTAATTACCAGAAGCCCTTTATTATTTCCTTTTGGGTCTAGTATTAACTACCTCTTTTCTGGTTTCCTTCTGTGAAATTAACAGTTTTTACTGTCTATAGTCTGTCCTTTATTGCTTAATATGGGGGAAGTACCAGATTGGGGTTTGGGGTCAGTAAACCATTTTCCCTTCCCCCTCGTTTACATACCAGCAGAAAGGGAACGAATTACCATAGCATAGATCACACTGAGAAAGTTACCCACCCCGATTCCCGACTTGCCCAAGAAAACCTGCAGCGGGGTAGTCACACCCACGTTTGCAGAGGAGCCGCTTATAGTTATGTTACTTTTATGTAGCTTTTTAAAAAATTGAATTATTGTATGCTGCAGTGGCAAGCCTTGTGCCAAATACCGGAAACAAGCAACAGCTCCACTCTCCTGGGACTTTGGGCTTGTTGCTTCCTTTGGAGACCACTGCCATTTAGATGAGCACTTGTTTATGGTGTTTGAGAAAAGGATTGGTCTCTGACCACCTACCACCAATGAAAAAGCTCCTAGGAAAACACTCCTTCAAGTTGCCATTGACATGGGACTCCATTATAAGAGAATCTTTGGATAAGGTCCCACAGAACCCTGCTTCTCACGTTTTAGTGTGTAGGTGAATCACAAGGTGATCTTGATAAAATGCAGATTCTGATTCAACAGGTCTGCTGTTTGTGGTAGTTTGAATGATGGCCTCACAGATACCGGGTTGAGGCCATGCTATTCCTGGGACCTGTGATGTCACCTGCACGGCAAAGGGTTTTCTCTGATGAGACCTTGGATGGGGCGGTTACCCTGGGTTATCCAGGTGGGGCCCTAAATGTAATCACAATCTCCTTCTAAGAGGAAGGCAGGGGGAGATGTGACCACTCAAGCAAAATGCTGCTGGATTGAGGCAGGAGCCAAAAAACAAAGAATGCAGCTCCAGAAGCTGGAAAAGGCAAGGGAACTGAATCTCTCCCAGTCCCTACCAATACCCTGCTTTCCACCCAGTGAAATCCATTTCAGACTTCTGACCTCCAGAACAAAAAGAATGTGTGTTGTCTTGAGACACTGGTGAATGTTTGTGTTCCTCCAACATTCCTGTGTTAAATCCTAACCTCCAATGGGATGGCATTAGGGGCCACTGGGAGGTTACTAGGTTATGGGGGCCCAGGCTTCATGAATGGGATTTGTGTCCCTATAGCAGAACCCCAAGAAAGTCCCTCAGCCCTCTGCAATGTGAACTTACAGCTAGAAGGCCCTGTCCATGAACCACAAAGCTGGCTCTCACTAGATGTCGACACTGCCAGGGCCTCCATCTTGGGCTTCCCAGCCTCCAGAACTGCGAGGAACGCATTTCTGTTATTTACCAGTTACCCAGTCTGTAGTATTTTTTCTAGAGGCCCGAAGACACTGACGCCCAATCTGCTGTGATTTGTTACCGCAGCCACAGGAAATGAGCCCCCAATGCTATGGGTCCTCAGAACACGCTGTGAGGAGCAAAGCCACCTACAAGCCAAGCCACAGACAGGTGGTTGTCAACCCTGGCTACGCATTAGCATCATCTGGGATGAGTTTGAAACAAACAGCAAAAAGCAATGCCCAGGTCCCACTGCTGGAAGAGTGCAGGCAGAACCTGTAAGGGTGGCGGCTAAGCATCACTCTAAAGCAGCGGTTCTCAACCTGTGGGTCGCGACCCCTTTGGGGGTCGAACGACCCTTTCACAGGGATCGCCTAAGATCATCGGAAAACACATATATAATTAATATATTAATTATTAATCACTATGCTTTATGTTCAATTTGTAACTGAAAATACATCCTGCATATCAGATATTTACATTATGATTCATAGCAGTAGCAAAATTACAGTTATGAAGCAGCAACGAAAATAATTTTACGGTTGGGGGTCACCACAACATGAGGAACTGTATTAAAGGGTCGCGGCATTAGGAAGGTTGAGAACCACTGCTCTAAAGGCTCCTTGGGTGAATCTGATCAGAAGGTAGGGAGGAGCTGTCTCATGAGAATAAACCCAAAATACAACTTTCCTTGTGTTCAAGGAAAACTCTTAAGCTCCCCAATATATGGACACACTAGTCTCTCTCCCGCCACCCCGCCTGCCCCGCTGAACTATATGCCGGCTTCTCAGTGAGGCCTGGGCCAACGCCTCATGTGAAGAATTACCAGGTTCGAGACTTAACACATTATTTCACCTCAATTGTGTTCAGCTCTGCTGTCTCGGGCTTATGAAGAACGCCGCAGCCTTTATTTCCACAGGTGGGAGCTATTGCCAGTACAGCCTGCACGGGCCCGGGTGAGCCTTCCATCCAATACGCCTTCCCACTTACACACCTACAGCCAACCAGCTGGTACATCTTAGCTAAGCGGGACTCCCAGCCAACGAAGCGTTTTCAAGTGCGTGGCCTTGAAAATCAGATCCGAGATG